ATAAATAGCCACAGTTCACACGATTTGTTAGCTCTTAGATTATGTTTCATTGTTATAAGATTCTGAGTTGTTTTCTAAATATTACATTACAACTTTCACTAAAACGCTGTGTGCTTTGGAAAGCTATGGTAGTTCATTGCAAAACAGAACATAAAATTGGACTAGAAAGCTCAACGGAGAAAAGGGAAAAGACGGGCAAATATACAACTGAATGTTCCGACCAAATTCTTTACCGCAGTCACCTCCTTATTTACATCATAACTATGGTAGTTCACTGGGAAGTACACTCGGTAGTCATGTGTTCAAATGCCGCTCTTCTTCTTCTTCTTCTTCTTCTTCTTCTTCTTCTTCTTCTTCTTCTTCTTCTTCTTCTTCTTCTTCTTCTTCTTCTTCTTCTTCTTCTTCTTCTTCTTACTTCTCCTCTTCCTCTTCTTCTTCTTCTTCGACTATTAGGAGGGTTTTTTTTTTTTTCAAGTTGGAGTGTATCTACCTAAGAGACCAGGAACCAACAGTCTGTCTATAAATAAGCCAGGTCTGTAAAACTCAAGTTCTGGAATAAGATTAAAGTCCAGAAGTGAACGAACAACCAGAACTTTCTGCCTGAGCTTTCAGCTGGTGTACACAATGAAGAAGAATCTAGTACACAGTGCCCGGTGCGATACATGCGCAGAAAGAGTCCTTTTACATTCACTTTTTGGCGCGTTTCTAGCTGGGGGAAAATAATGAACTGTGTGAACTTGAGTTGCTTGTCGCCACTTTCATTGCTGTTGCTATTAAACACGTCTGTACACCTCTGTAACGGTACAAAAGTCTGTATTGTACAACTGAAAAGTGTTGTTTTTCTCCCAAGCCTTTGCACTGTCTGTACCTCCCAAGAGAAACATTACTCTAACTACATTCTCAAGAGCAGCTTACAAACAGGGGCTTAAGAGTGCTATTCTTTACACCCCACAACAAACTGTAAAACAACTGTCTAGTTTCTTTACTGAGAAACTATCCTGCACCTTGTTACTCCTATCGCTTGGTGTTCCTTATTATCAGAATTGTTCTGGTTACATAGATTCTCTGAAGACTACATGCGATTCTACTGGACGACGGTCATCACCTGTCTCTTGTTTCAGGGCTTCTAGCGTTAGTAAAAGTATCTTCTTACAAATGTTACAACTTGACTTGCTGTTGTGACCTTTCTTGCACTTTTTCTTTTTTAGTGTAATTTGAATATTGCACCCGGCAAACCGGGGTCATTGGTTCGTGTTTCTTTATTGTTCTTTTCATCATGACGTAGTTTTTGTTGTTGTAGCACTCTTTGTGCTTTTTGTTTAATCCATTTTGAGCGCAATATCTGTTAAAAGGTGCGGCGTTAAGTTCTTTTTGCACTTGAGAACTTTGGAGCTTTTATCGTCAGTTACTTTAATTATCAAGATTCAGTACGTTTTAGTGGTTTCAAAGGTAATATCTTGTCGACGGAGCAATACTCTAAGTGGTCAGTCTGAGTACAGTATGAACATTGTTTCTTTTGTCTGTAAGATCTGAGGATAGATAGTGACCAAGTGAGGTAAAGGATGCTTTACCACGCCTTTAGGCATATTGGGCACATAGGGCTAGACCTGTATTTTATAGACCAATCGGCGGATTGTGTGATCAACATCACGCCGGCTGCTTTCACTTCCCAGTACATTACTAAGTACACAAGGTCTTTTTTTTTTAATGTTTAGCTCCGTTAGGTCTGAACTCTCGACTTTCGGATCTAGAGGGGAGCCTCTAGCTTCTAAACCACGACGGCTCCCATAGTGGTCAAGGTAATACAGAAATCAGAGAGAGAGAGAGAGAGAGAGAGAGAGAGAGAGAGAGAGAGAGAGAGAGAGAGAGAGAGAGAGAGAGAGAGAGAGAGAGAGAAATTAAGAATGACTTAACATATTTTCAATATAAAGACACTGAATTCATGAGATTTGTAGACACGTTGTAAAAGACTACAAAAACTTCAAATCAAAAGAGGTATTGCCAATCATGAACATGATACAGTAGCCAAAGAAAAATAGTAACCCAACACAGAACTGGTGAAATCAGTCACCGCAAGCTGAGGGATATACCTAAGATGGGTTTCGAGCGCCTATGGACTTGTAAGACGTGTAATGAGAATAATCTTTCGATAAGCTAACTACATCATACATACTGAAGTACTGGAAAACCCAGGAGTTCACAATCAACGCTCAACCTCAGAAGGCTCAGGTGGCTAAAACATTGTAAAGAATGATTCTCACTTGTTTTTTCCTTTCTAGAAAACATGTGCTCGTACTCACCACAATATGTGAAAATGGTTCCGGTATTCACCACAAAGTGTATACAATGGTTCCTTGGAATCCCAGCGTCTCAAAACTCGAATAGCTTTAAATCCGAACGAAATTATTTAGTAAATTTTGCCTATGAATTCGAACGTCAGAAACCGAACGTCAGCACGTGCCGATCACACCACTGAGGTGACAAGGCAATAGCCTCACCACCTCCACCAGCAGCAGAAAGAAGAAATTGCAGAAGGAATTTATCCCGGTAAGGAAGAGTGAGATGCTGAAAGGATTAGCACTGCTGAAGTCCAAGATCTTTTGACATGTGGTCGAAAACACAAACAGTTGTTTGAATACTGTATGGATTTTAAAAAAAGGTAAAGTTCCCTTTCCACGCCTTTCGGCGCATCGGGCATATGGGCAGAGCGTTTCATATTTTTACAGACCATCAGCACTCTTTGGGTAATGTGGTCAGCATTACGCCGGCTGTCTTTATTTTCCCAGGACACCCCATCCTGGTACCCATTTTAGGCTGGGTCGACCTGCGACGTCTCATACCACGACAAAAATCCACGCAGCCTGCAGTGGGTTTCGATCGCCTTATGCTGGCTTACGAGTCGGACTCGCAACGCCTTAGCCACGGACGCCGCGCTGTATGGATAGACACTGTTGAAATCCAAAATCTTTTGCCATGTAGAAAACACATGTTGTTTGGATGCTGAAAGGATTAGCACTGCTGAAATTCAAGATCTTTTGACATGTGGTCAAAAACGCAAACAGTTGTTTGGATGCTGAATGTATAAGCACTGTTGAAATTCAAGATCTTTTGTCATGTGGTTAAAAACACAAACAGTTTTTTTGGATGTTGAATGGTTAAGCACTGTTGAAATCCAAGATCTTTTGACATGTTGTCAAAAATACAAGTTGTTAAGTGGCACACATGATAGAGCCCTAGTTTAAAGGTGTATTAACTTATTCAATGATAACATTATCCAACATTTAAAAAAAAAAAAAAATGGTCGTCAGCACCAGAGCACTTTGGAACTCTAGCTCTCCATAAAAACTAGTGACTCCAATCGACTGCAATATGAAACACCAGAAAGGATTCCTAATGTTATCATGGAAAGTGACTCAACCGTCCAAACAAAAATCTTCCTACATCCTCCTAAAGTGGCTCAAATTCAAAACATTTACCTCCCTAAATTATCCTCCCTTCTGCTTCTATGTGCAGTGTCACCATTTTCATTTTCTTCTTCTTCTTCTTCTTCTTCTTCTTCTTCTTCTTCTTCTCTTCCAACTTGTACCTCATCGAAGTGTCGGGGGAAGATGTAATGTTCGTTGATGAGCTCTGTCAAGAGCACTATTAAGACTGATGTTCATTTCTGTAAGGCTGTTCTTAATGCCATCACTCCATCTTTTCCAAGGTCTTCCAGTGGCTCTATTCCCGTTGTAGCGTTTTAGTGTGGCTCGATGTGGCGGATAGTAAAAGGGCATTCTTGTTAGGTGTCCAAACCATTTCATTTGTTGTTCTTTGATGACCTGTAAGACTGGCTTTATTCCTAGCATTCGTCTGATGTCATGATTTCGTATTCTGCCTTTCCTTGAAACTCCTGCAGCTCTTTAAGGCATTTTATCTCTGTTGTCATAATTTTACATTCATTGGAGGATGTAAGTGTCCACGTTTGGCACTGATGGCATAGTGTTGGCCAAAAAATAGTTCTAATAAAATTCACTTAAGTACTCTGAGGAATCAGCTTGTGTGTCAACAGGGGAGATAGTTGACCCATTACTTGATTAGCTTTGGCACATTTGGAGCTAATTTCTCTGTCCAGTTTTCCGTCTGATGTAAAAATTGCTCCCAAATACTTCAATTCCTCTGTTTGTCTCAAGATGTTGTTTTTTAATTTATTTTCTAAATTGTCTTTATGTCTTCCTATCATCATTGTCTCTGTTTTCATCAATGTGCAGTAAATACAATGTTTTTGTAGAAATTGTTTAAAATGTATTTATGTTTGTATTTAATTATGATCTACCCCACCAGGACATCACACAAGTGATAAACACCCGAGGACACAATGTATATATATATATATATATATATATATATATATATATATATATATATATATATATAAACGAGACAGAAGGTTGTGGATAGCCATGATTACCTACGCCGCCTGGCATGACTAAGAAAAAGAGAGAAAAAAAACCACATAAATATGTATAAATATATGTGTGTGTGTTTTTTTTCCATCTTTTTCTTAGTATATATATTTATATACATGTGTGAGTATGTGTGTGTGTGTTTGTGTGTGTGTGTGTTTTCTCTTTTTCTTGTTCAGGATTTATCTTTTTTCCCCCTAGTGCATTTAGTTTAGTGTTCTCTCTCTCTCTCTCTCTCTCTCTCTCTCTCTCTCTCTCTCTCTCTCTCTCTCTCTCTCTCTCTCTCTTTTTCTCTCTCTCTCTCTTTCTTGCCTTTCTTCTTAGTGTGGAGTGTCGGCCAGATCCCCTAGTTACTTCCTGTCTGTTGCACCATTCTTTTCAGACCATGATAATCTAAGTGTGAAGAACCTTGACAACATAGTACTTGCAATGCACAAATTTAGCTCTAAGTGGCGCAGAGCCAGTATGTCTGTGCGCCTGCTCGTTTCCTAACACATCTGCATCTATATATATATATATATCATATGATCTGCCAGGTACGGTGCTTGGAGTCAGCATAAACCCGCATGCCAACAACACAGAGTACGTGACGGTTGTGGAAGGTGGAAGAGTTATCTTGCCTTGTACATTAGATTTTCTCGGTGACCAATCGGTGAGTATTGTTATGTCACATAACAGGTACATAATTTTTGTCGTTGTCGTCATCATCATCATCATGTTTCATGCCGATAGCGTAGGCTATCTCGTTATGCCAACCTAAAAGATCACGAGAATCATGGATCAGGACAGCGTTCTTATCAAGCACCATCTATACCGTTAAACCTTCCAGGTTATTTATTTTCTTTTTTCAAATCTGTTTCTTCCCCATGATTTCTTTTTCATTAATCTTCCTACTAGTTACCAAGTTCTCAAGTCCATTACAGCTCATAATTTGTTCGTAAAATATCGACTTTCACGTTCCTTATAATGAAAACATGATTTCTGTCTGCAGATGTGTAAGTAAGTAAAAAAAAAGTAAGTAAAGGACCTTTTCCACGCCTTCAGGCGTATAGGGCATATAGGGCTAGACCTATATTTTTATAGACCAACGGCACAAGATGGGTGATGTGGTCAGCATCACGCCGGCCGCCTCTACTTCCCGGGATTGCACCCGGTACCCACTCAAGGCTGGGTCGACCTGGGAGTCAAGGTCATTTTTTAAGAAAAGTCCGTCTCCGCCAGGGAGCGAACCCACGACCTTCCGATCCGCGGCGAGCGTCTGCAGATGTGTGGGCTATGATAATTTAGCAGTGGGCATAAGGGGCAATTAACTCCGTCCTAATATGGACTCAGTTTGTTTAGTTATTTTGAAGCCACACCCCGGCTTCATTAGTGGCCCTAGTATAACCCAACTGTTCAAAGGGAGCTTGAGCATGGGGGATTTTCATCCGAACTGTAGCACTTTGTGTCATCGGCTGTTAATCGCTAGTTGTGCCATCCTGGTGGGGTTTAATGTCGGTCAAGAAGGGGTCAACAGTGAACATTCCGAGAAAGGGGAGATAATAGAACTGTCCGTCTGACTAACTGATTGACTTTTTACCTCACCAGGACATCACACAAGCGATGAACACTCGGTGACACAGAGTGCCACCATGCGGTTGAGGATTACCCGCGGAGATGTCCAAACCACCCCTTTCAGTCTTTAGGCCATATCTATGGCTAGGCCACATCTATGCCCCGGCTATATTCAGAGCACCCGGGCAGCTAAAAAAAAATGTACTATTCGTACTAACTTTGTGCTGTCAGTGCCAGCCATTAGGCCATATCTAAGCCGTATCTAGGCCATATCTATGCCCCGGCTACATTCAGGGCCCCCTGCAGAGGCCAGGATGGGGCTTCAAACAACAACAAAATTGCACCCCACATGGGGACGACTTTTGAAGGCCGTCTGTGGGTTTTATGACCTATTTTTCGGTTGTGATGAGAGTGAACGCAGAGAACTAATATTACTATTCATGTGTCCAGTGGTAATACATTATTTAGGGAAAATATTATTTTCGCAACTAAGGAGAATAACAAGTGAATTGAGAGCAACTATATCAAGAAAACTTTCCTGCAACTAGAATCACGCGTATAGAAAGCGACATGTTAAACAGCATATCTTCTGATGACGTTAAGTAATAATATCATTGTACCCATCTGGGACACAATTTTTCGCTATTTTAAAGCCCCACCCTGGCTATTGCCGGGGGCTGTAGTATAGCCTAACAGTTGAACGCAGTTTCTGGGACCTCTCCACGAGTGATCCTCATTCGCATGGTGGCACTTTGTGTCACCGGGTTCTTATCGCTCTATGCGATGTCCTGGTGGAGTAAAATTTACTTACTTATTTTATATAAATTATTTTACATTAAGGAAATCATGAAAAGATAGTTTCAGGTAGTAACTTAGAGCCTTTGAGGGGAATTATTTAATATAGTTTCTTTAAATAGATTCTGTATAATTTTCTAATTAAAAAAACGATAATATATTTCCAGTATGAATATATTTAAAAGGCGGATATATTTTAAAGTTATCTTAGATTAGCTTGTGTAATTTAAAACGGTAGGGGCCTCGGTGCTTTAAATAACTTAGGTCCTCATAACGGCTAAACAAGCCCATTCGACTGGTCTATTTAAAAAAATTGATCTAGTGCAGCGGCTCTCAACATATGGGTCATGACCCTTTTTTTGGGTAGAACAACCCTTTTACAGGGGTCGCCAAAGACCATCGCAAAACAAATATTCATTGAAGTTATGAAGTAGGGTCGAAAATAATTGTATGGTTGGGGGGGGGGGGGGGGGGGGTCGACACAACATCGGGAACTACATTAACTCTTTGAGTCCCAGGGAACGCATCATACGTGCGCCGATTTTACGTCTCTCTTGTCTACCCCTTGGGCCTGTGATGCTAAACCCCTTGGGACTCAAAGAGTTAAAGGGTAGCGGCATTAGGAAGGTTGAGAACCACTGATCTCGTGCCATATTCCTGATGTGCTAGTGGTGTAGAATGCGTCCTATACTAACAAAATTCACAACAGGTTGCAGAATCAACTCCAGCATTGTTTGACGGTTGTGGGATTTTTTTTCTAGGCAAATGTTCGTTCAGTAGTTTGCCATTGCTGGCTTAACGCTCGGCTCTCGTACCACTGCCGAAACTTACGCAAGAGGTCTACCACTAAATCGCCTGCAGCTGCGATCCATCACGGCACCCTATCATTATAAAGCTACAGACGCCAGGGGCATACTAGATAGAAGCAGTGCAGTCTAAAATAAGTGCTTATAAACCTGTGAAAGGAATCATCAATGCGACATTTTTGATTAAATGCATAAACTCGCAGGATATAATAATAGATAACACCTGGTTATCACAACAACCTTAACTATTTTGGAACCGGGAAATCCGAGGAAACAATATTCGCAATCAGCTTGATTACTTATTGATCCCTAGAGCGTTCTGGAGCGGTTTAGCATGAACCCAAGCAACTGCAAACCAAACTGCAGAAATGGTTATGTGTTTGTTATGGGAAAGACAAAGCTTCACTTTATGTGTAGCTAGATTAATGACGTCTTAACTTCCAATATGATCTATAGTTTCCACACTTGTATCTCTCAAAACATAATAAGTGACCATTATTGAGTGTACCAGGTACTTTGCAGAACGTCGCTCTTATCAGGGACTGCCTGAAGGACAAAAAAATGTCAGTCCCTCATCTTCCGGCTCGTACACTTTATTTCCTGTGTCCAGCTTTGTATTGGTCGGCTCTTGCCTCTCTTTTCTGGTACCAGGCCTCCTGCTATTATCCTTTCCATTACCCTGAGGCAAGATTTTGTGTACTATTCAGTCTTGCTTTATAAGGGCCCCAGACACAACATAGCAAAAGGCCCAGTCTACGCAGCCACTCACAAGAATCATTGACGTTACAAACAAACCAGCTGACCAGCCTCATAAACTGTGTCATGCCAGGTGTGTTCTTGATATCCGGTGTCCGTCGTAGGCTTGTCGATTTTTATTTTAACTAGAAACCTTACCCTTCGTAACGGAGTTAGAGCCTCAGCACTTAGAGAGATAGAGAGCAGCGGTAAAGTAGGGGACACAAAAGGGGAAAGGGAGTGGGTATTGTCATTGGATAGGGAGGCAGAGAATAAAGAGTTGGAGAGACAGATGACAAAATTCCTGCTGAACCCAAAGTTTTCACTTCTGTCTTGTTTTCCCATATGCAGGTGATCTGGGTCAACCCCCGAAAGACACTGATCAGCCTTGCAGATCGACGGATGATAGACGATCACCGAATCAGCGTGGAGCGTCCCTACGTCAAGATCTGGAACCTACTCATCCGAGACGTGCGACACAACGACAGTGGCGCCTATGAGTGTCGGGTGAACACGTCGCCCATACAGATAAAGGGGGTTACACTAGAAGTGCAAGGTACACGTCTCCTGCTAAATTTCTTTAGCTGTTCCACTTTTGTTTTGTGGTGATGTGGTTGGTCTTTCTAACCAAAGAGAATTGAAGTTCTTTTAAACCAGTTAGATCGACACAAGAGATGGTAAGAGGTTTGTAGGCGTGCTCGATCAGGTGGATTATGTCAACAAAGGTGTCCTGGTAGGGACTAGTTCTTACTGGAAACGAAACAAAATTACCATCTTTGGCCGACAGTGAGTTACCCCACAGAAAGCAGCGATCAACACAGACAAAAATTTAATTTTAAATCTACAGACATCCTTACTACACAGAATAGCCAAATAAAAAAAAATAAAAAAAAATATTAGGCAGAAATAACAAATGAGAATTCAAGAATTACGAATTGCTACGAATTACCCAGTTAAAATTGCAAATATAACCAAAAGCTTTCTGTAAGTTAGTTAAACACGATTTAATTTTTTTTTTCATTGAAGTAAGCAAACATGAATAAAGAAAATATGCAAGAAACAGAAATAGGTGATAGGTTTTGTCCGGGATTCTAAATTTAAAACAGCTGAGGGCGTAGTTTATGTCTTTTACAAATAAGGTCGTCTTGACCAAATAAAAAATAAAGAAAGAACTAAAATTCATTCATTTCTTTAGTGAATAAGTGTATGACTGAAACTGTCACATACCAGCGGAACACTCCTATGCTCATTGACTTGCCTACATCTATGTAGATTAACTAGTTTAAAATATGGACTCCTCTTCCATAAGTATATAGTCATTCTTAAATAAGTATAGGTTAACATATCGGAAAAAGTTTCTAATTCTATTTGGAGTGAATTATATAGTGAATTCGCTCATAGGTAAGTGATTTCAAAGCGTAGCGAAGCCAAAGTCCATGGTCGAAGTACCGCCGTTCTGGCGAAAGTAATGTTTCCCGCTTCTAGTTTGGCAGACTTTGAATTTTTTGCGTCATTGTTCACCCAGATTTCATGACCAGGGGACAAGAGGACGCTTCGTTCTAACATCTTCCTGTTATACCTGAACTGAAAGTCTCCGTTTCATCCGGGAATATCTAATGAGTGTGGGGTTTATAAGCTCTGATCCAGGCAGTGAACTGGTTAAGCTGAAGCTGAGGTCAAAATCACAGTCAAAGAGTTCCACTCAAAGTGCTACATCCCTCAGTCAAAACTATACCTGAGTAAAGACACCCATCCCACCAGTGCTTAGCCACATTCACCAGATACCCTGACCCACCATGCCCAGTACCTGAATCCTATGTGACAAATGGGTCACTTTCTGTAAGAACAGTTGCAGACTCCACTTCATCATCTGCTGTATCCAGCCTAATGTTTGCCATACCTGACCAACCACATGCCAGTTCCTAACCTGAGAAACTGTTTGATGTGTATGTCTATACCTACTCCAAGAGAGGCAGTGACAATTTGATGTGTCCATGCGTTCAGGTCCATTAACTTTGCATCAAAGATTGACTCAAGTTGACGAGAAGGAGGATTTGCCCTGCTTCACCTCTGAGAACAAGTAATAGAGGCCAGAACGTACAGCCAATCAGTCAAAGCTGGCCTGAACTTATTATGTCCTTTGTTCATCTTCAGAGCGATGATGATACTCATTAGTTTGGAACTCAGGCCTGTAGTCATTTCTGCCTGGACATTTTGAGTGTCATCTTATTATATTGTTTTGTCTCTTTTAAATTATTCCATTGACAGCCTTACCTTTATGGAGATTCAATACATCGTGCTTTGTTATTTTGAATTCGTCTTTGTTGGTGTAAGGTCTGTCACTGTTTTTTTTTTTTTTTTAGGTCAGTGTAAGCATATTGTGTTATCTTCAGATTTCTGGCTTCTGTTTGCATTTTGACTAAGGGATCCTATCTAGTCTGGGGGCTTACAAGTGGTGAGGAAGTCTGGCCAAGTTGTGCTTAGGAATAGTTTTAATTCTGTGAGGCCTTTAACTCCAAGTGATGTTGGATGGCCGTTGGAGCTGCAGAGTACCTCTAGACTAACACGAGCCGCTTTCTCAATATTAAGTCACCCCAGAGTGTCTATTATAATTAGAGGAAACCATAATGCAGACACGTGACACCATCGTTTAGTGACAGAAACTTGCAACTAGCAGAAACATGTGATAAGTTATGTCAGTGATAGCTCACTTTAAAATGTATGAGCCTGGCTGAGGTGTTTGACAAAGCCTGAAGACAGTGATAATGCGTAGGAAGACACTATGTAACAATTTTAACATATGTACGGTGGATAAATGGACATCTAGGGTTATTAGATCTGTTAATTTTAGAATACAATGAAACAGATGAAAGCAGAGAAGAACATAAAAACAAATCGGAACTAACGACAGAGGAACTAGAACCAGGTATATTGTAAGATGAAGTAGAGTCTGTCATTCATACCGCCCCGAGACTAAAGGCGACAGGTATTGATGATCTACCAGCTGAGGCCATCAAGGCAGCAGGAGAAGCGGGAGCACTGTGGTTAAAGAGAATATTTCAGGTGGCATGGGAAAATTAAGAAACACATCAGATTGGCAAACTGCTGTTATCGTCCCGCTATGGAAAAATAAAGAAAGTAAGAGGGATTTTACTAATTACAGAGGAATATCGCTTCTCAGTCGACATCGAAAAAAAAAAGGCTAAGACCAGGTGGGCTTTCGACGAAACAGAAGTTGCACAGATGCCATTTATACATTGAGACAGCTATAAGAGAAAGCAATAGAACACGATAAGACATGTTTGTTGACATTCATATTAAAAGAAAAAGCCTTTGATAGAGTCGACAGGAATATGTTGTGGGAATGTATGGGGGGACATGAAATCAGCAACCATCTCAGTGATATTTGCAAAAGCCTGTACACATGTAGTAAATGCTGCATATGATCAAAGACAGGATTGTCAAGAACTCTTATAGTGAACTCTGGTGTGTGTCAGGGCTGTGTACTTTCGCCACTTCTTTTTATAACATACACGGATACCATTTGTAAAGAAACGAACTTTAATCATTAAGAAAATATTATAGAATTACTATTTGCCAAAGACCATGTACTCAAAGCAAAAGGTGCGGAATGCCTACAAAACCACCTAAATCAAATTAGTAACAAAGGGGAGGAATATAATATGACAATAAACATTACAAAGACAGAGACAATGGTGATAGGGAGGCAGAAAGGCAGTTTAGAAGTAAAATTGAAAAACAACACTTTAAGACAGCGGAATTTTAGTATTTGAGAGCAATTTTCACATCCAGCGAAAAACTGTAGAGAGAAATTAGCTCGAGATGTGCCAAAGCTAATCAAATAATGGGGGAACTATCTCCCCTGTTGACACACAAGCAGATACCCCGGAGTACTAAAGTGAATCTTATCATAACTATTTTTTTTTGGGGGCCAACATTATGCTATCAGTGCCAAACGTGGACACTTACATCCTCCAATGAACGTACAATTGTGACAACAGAGATAAAATGCCTCAGAAGAGCTGCAGGAGTTTCAAGGAAAGACATAACACGAAATCATGAAATCAGACGAATGCTAGGAATAAAGCCAGTCTAACGAGTAATCAAAGAACAACAAATGAAGTGGTTTGACACCTAACGAGAATGCCCTGGTACTATCTGCCACAGCGAGCCACACTAAAACGTTACAATGTGTATAGAGCGAGTGGAAGACCTAAGAAAATATGGAGTGATGGCATTGAGAACAGCCTTATAGAAATTAACATCAGTCTTAATAGTGCTCTTGACAGAGCTCATCAACTAATATTACATCTCCCCCTCGACACTTCGATGAGGCACAATGTGAAAGTGAAGAAGAAGAAGAATTTTAGAATACAAGTAAGATTTACGTAGAAAGCTGTCATGGACTACATCTCAAACTTTTGCATATCTTATAGTCGTTAATGATTATGATAAGGTTATTTAATGTTAAAATGGAGAAGATCGACTTCATCTCTAGCTTGATCTCTCTCTCTCTCTCTCTCTCTCTCTCTCTCTCTCTCTCTCTCTCTCTCTACGCAGAACTGCTAATCACGCCTTCGGAGAGCGTCGCCCAAAGAACGAACACCATTGCTTTGGCGACGATTCCCAGGGGTTTCCGTAAAAACTGCCCTCTTGAACCGAACGACGCATTTGTGTAACTTATCCACGACCTGCATTGCGAGGCAGACGGCGTGACCATATCACCACGGGGACCTCCATGATAATTATACGCCCTTTATTGTAAATATTTAAACTATCTCTGCAAGTACTTATCTGTTGTACCCTACTTGGTTCATGGAATGTGCATTGTTTGTCCATCGATCGCAAGTGATAAAGATCTCTTAAACATCCTACTATAAAAGACAACCATGTGAGTGTGAAGATAACTGATGAGTCCGATGTCAGCCTAGAACATTCTGGAGCAGTGAAAAGAGATGAAAGAACTGAGAGAAGTATTAAAATAGAGTACAAAAGGCAAGAGCAGCTGTCATAGCACTAAAAAAAATGTATAGAGGTCAAAATAAACTAAAACTAAACTGTACATTTTAATTCTATAGTCCAATCAGTACCTCTGAATGGAGCATATGCAGAAGAAGAAGATAAAAGATGAAAGAGACACTAGAAGAGCATTAGCCATAGGGTTTTTCTAGCCTACTCCGTTGCTTAGAGGTTTGTAAAGGCGGTTAAAAATTGCATAATTCTGGGGCAATAGAGTTCAGTTTTCGCTGCTGTGGGCGAAAGCCTGTTCTCGTGGCTTTCATAAATTAGTACGAGAGTCGCACCATGGACGAGACTGAGGTATCACCACGTAACATTCTCAACAGCGGAAACACCGTAGCCTTCATTGTGGGGACAGCAAATATTTATTTTCTGTGCCGATTGGTCTATGAAAATATAGGTCTAGCCCTATGTGCCCTATACACCTAAAGGCGTGGTAAAGGCTCCTTAACTTTTTTTTGGGCCCGCCTCTGCTTTCTGCCAGTGCAACCTCGGCTGTCGAGGAGGCTCGCGCAGTTTATAGGTATTGTTTCATATTCTAAAGCAGTGGGTTCTCAGCCTAGTGGGGGCCCACTCTAAGGGCGCAAGGAAGCTTGAAAGTTCAAGGGGCGTCAGCCAATTTTGACACATTTGTAATAACCTTTAGTTTTTCCAGTTTACTCATTAATGAAATTATTGTTTTTAACTGTTTATTTAAAAAAAAAAATTTTAAGAAGTTATATTATTAATGACACTGTAATTATGTGAATGTTAGTTTCTCCAAGTTCTTGTTTATAGTGCTTAGGAATTTTCTTTTTGCGCTCCTTTCTTAAATTAATTTTTTTTTTAGATTCAAGGGTGGGGTGTCAGGTTCTTGCTTTATATTTAAAGAGGCGCCACCTGAAAACGGTTGAAAAACACTGTTCTGGAAGAAGTCAAGAAAGCCGGTTTAATGATAGTGATCGAAGTTGTGGTGATGATGGTGGTCATAGTGCGGCGCCTGGCTGGGATGATTGTGGTCATAGCGCGGCGCCTGGCTGAGATGATTGTGGTCACGGTGCGGCGCCTGGCTGGGATGATTGTGGTCATAGCGCGGCGCCTGGCTGTGATGATTGTGGTCATAGCGGCGTCTCGCTGTGATGGTGGTTATAGCGCGGCACCTGGCTGGGATGATGGTGGTCATAGCGCGGCGCCTGGCTGTGATGATGGTGGTCATAGCGCGGCGCCTGGCTGTGATGATGGTGGTCATAGCGCGGCGCCTGGCTGTGATGATGGTGGTCATAGCGCGGCGCCTGGCTGTGATGATGGTGGTCATAGCGCGGCGCCTGGCTGTGATGATGGTGGTCATAGCGCGGCGCCTGGCTGTGATGATGGTGGTCATAGCGCGGCGCCTGGCTGGGATGATTGTGGTCATAGCGCGGCGCCTGGCTGTGATGATTGTGGTCATAGCGCGGCGCCTGGCTGCGATGATGGTGGTCATAGCGCGGCGCCTGGCTGTGATGATGGTGGTCATAGCGCGGCGCCTGGTTGTGATGATGGTGGTCATAGCGCGGCGCCTGGCTGGGATGATTGTGGTCATAGCGCGGCGCCTGGTTGTGATGATGGTGGTCATAGCGCGGAGCCTGGCTGGGATGATGGTGGTCATAGCGCGGCGCCTGGCTGGGATGATTGTGGTCATAGTGCGGCGCCTGGCTGGGATGATGAAAACAGTGATGATACCGGCCATTTATGATATAATAAGAAAACTGCACAAGATTTAATCAAGATCGGTCAATCGATGTGTCCCATCTGGGATGCTACCTAAAGTTTTATCATTGTAGTTGGCACTTTTCCGTCTTTCCAGACGAAAGTGTTATTTTATGCCAAGAGGAGGCACGAGACTCATAGCCCTCCTCTCCACAATACAAAGCCTGGGCATTATTGTAGAGACCATGTGTTACCCATGCATCACGATCCCTCACTGGCTTGCCTTGTTTACTCAAAAAGGAGTTTACCAAACACTCCTGATCTTCACATATCTCAGTAGGGGAGCAGATTATTATGGCGAACCAAGATACCCAGTTAAACTCCAAAGAAGTTATAATTAGGACACCGGGACCGGAACAGTTACATCAGCACGGCATAACCTGCAGTCTTATAAGGATGAGAGCGCGCACAGATTTAGCTTTAGTGTGTTTATAGTTCCCCCTGCTGGCAGATGTAGATACCCGGTTTACCCCCACCCCCCTCCCCCTTTTCCCCCAAAGAAGTTATAATTATGGCACACTTAACGGAACAGCTACACCGGCCACGCTTAATCGGCAGTCTTATACAGGTGATAGCGCGCACAGATTTCGCTTTGTTGGTGTATTTACAGTTTCCCCCTGCTGGCAGATGTAGATACCCGGTTAATGCCCCCCAAAAAGTTATAATTAGGGCACTTGTAACGGAACAGCTGCAGCGTCCGTGGCCTAGGTGTGCGAGTCCAACTCGTCATCCCAACATACCGCGATCGAAACCCACTGCTGGCTGCGTGGATTTGTAGCATGGTATGGGGCGTCACAGGTCGATCCAGCCAAAAATGGGTATCAGTGTGGATGGCCACATTACTGTGGACCACATTACCCACCTAGTGCCGATGGTCTGTAAAAATATGGGTGCTCTTCTTATGTGCCATACTTTAACTTTAACGGAACAGCTACATCAGTCCGACTTTACCTGTAGTCGTCTTATACAGGTGAGCTTGCACAGATGTATGCTTTGTTGTTGTATCTACAGTTCCCCCTGCAATACTCAGCCAACAGTCTTCTGATAAAATAGTACTAGAGGAAGGACACGCGGCTACACTTGTCTGTCATGTGATAGGTATACCTACGCCGAATGTCACATGGTACAGGAGACACTACAGAACTATTGGAGCCCTCAAAGAGAGTAAGAAAACATTCGTGTTGTTCTTATCGGCAGATAAGTGTGTACTTCTTTTATTGTGTTTCAAGTTACAAATTGTCTGTCTTTAGTCAAGGGAACCGGGTGTGGGAAAGGGGGGAGGGAAGCGCGGGGTTTACTATTAATGACCGGTGGACGTCTGTGGCTTGTGGTTATGAGCGCAATTTTATCATTCTGAGATATCATGGTTCATAGTTCGCTGCAAGTACTTTGACAGCAAACCGCTTTGCGTTGATTTTGACAACCGCTAGACCGTTTAAAGCAATGGCAAGCTATTGAACGTAAAAGTGTCTAGTCAAACCACAAAGAATCAGGGTCATTCCTAAATCAACTTCCGATTGGCAGGTTAAAAAAAAATTTTTTTTTATCAAATTACGTATAAAAGTTTCACACACACTGCATTATTTTTCCACATAGTCACCACCTAAATTCAAGCATGTGTGGTACCGTGGCACGCATTTTTGTAACCCCTCGTCATGAAACGTCACGGCCAGGGTACTCAGCTAGTTGTTGACTTCATCGGGACTTTGAAGCGTTGGGTAGCCAACCAGACCTTCATCTTGACGAAGAGGTAATAATCGTTTAGTGCCCAGCTTAAAGAAGAGTAGTTGAAAATTTCCCACTCAAATTGCTCAAGGTTTTTGTTTTTTTCTTTCAGTTTTTTTTTTTTTTTTTTTTTTCAAGCAGCCATGTGGGGCCGCGTGTTGTCGTGCAGGATAATGACGCCACTGTTGAGCATTCAGGGCTTTTTGTTTGGGATCGACCGACGAAGCTTCTTCCGTGTTTCAAAATATACTTCTGACGTTATTGTGGTCCCTGGTATCGTTAATTCCGTCAACAAAATATCATTGCGGTCCCAGAACACTGTGATCATCAGTTCTCATTGCGAAAATGTTTGCTTGAAATTTTAGGGGCTTGTTTGGAGAATGAGTATGCATCAAATTGTTTTGACTGTTCCTTCGTCTTTATGTTCACCAATCCCTCATAGGCCTGTCATTCATAATGTTTCATCGTGCACACTACACAATCGATGAGATATCCTGGCGGCAATTTAATCTGTTACTTGATAAACACGAATCGCAACTCGAATTTCACAGCTGGCTGGAAAGGCACTAACAGTATCCGTGTTTATTCGTTCGCGATTCTTGAACCGCTAAACACATGCGACTGTAGATGATGTGTAGTGAGCTAAAAGATCACTGAATGATGCAAGCAATGGATGGTGTCGGTACACAAATAGTTTTATTTTCACCCGCTTTTTACCAGCCAATCGGAAGTTGATTTTGAAATAGTCCTCGTAAATACTGGAGACGGATTGCGACATCAAGAAAAGCCAAGCTTCTCAAATTTTCTTGTCCTATCGTCCCTTTCTTAATATACAATAACTCAGTGTCCCGATCTCATTTTTTCGATGGAAATATCATAATCATCGTCACACCTTGTGCCTATAAGCATAGGCGGCAATGATTCGCCATCGTACGATCAGCACCATTGTCAAGGACCCTGCATCTATACAACTTAACTACAGCTCGTTGTACTGCCCTGTGACAGACACACTATACTAGAACACACTTTAAACACACACCTATGGAGTACACACATAATCTTTAATGCATAAAGAGACTTTAACCTAAAGCAACCACAGCATTTATGGACAATCCCTTATTTGAAACTCCCGCAGTGGCAGCCTTTATATTTACTTATCCACCCCGAGCCATTCCCTTGGATGTACCAGAGGGCACGATTCCACCTCCTGTTTACAGCGCTAACTAGTCTGCGGTCCTCGTCATGCAAAACTCAATGGCAAACGCAGGGTGAGTGGTTCAAGTATTAGCGGGCAGTGTCAGCACAAAACGCAGCTAAACCCTAATAACCCATGGACAAGAACACCTACCTAAGCACGATACAACCCCAGCGAGGGGAGAGAAAGAATCAACCCACTATCCCCTAACAATCATGTCCGCAAAGACGACTATTTGGGGTGTTTCCTTTGAAGCTGGAGTGTATCTACCTGAGAAGTGATGAACAAACGTCTGCATACAAATATATCAGATCTGTCAAACGGGTGTGCACGCAAAATCCAAGTTTTGGGTCAACACCAGAGAGCAGAAGTAAACGAACAACAGGAACTTTCTGCGGAGTTTTACATTAGCCTAACAAGAAAAAGAACTTCACACACACACACACACAAAGACACACACTCACACACACACGTTATTTCCGGTATTATAACATAAATAGATCGATCGTATAAAACGATTTTATAACAAAGACAGACATGCGCAGTGACCAGCACGGGATAAACCAAGCACCAGCAAGTCAGCAAAAACCCACAGAGATAGGAGCTAAGAGAGCTGGACCAGACTGAGACCCAGAACCCCAAGTACCACACCAGACTTAGGAAGACAAAGAACAGGAATATCAGGTGTGACTTCACACCACAAAGAAAAGGAAACCAAATAAGATAGCCAATGAACCTTCCTTTATACTGCAGGCCTCCGGGCGGCTGAATAAGGATCAAGTTTGGAATTTTTGTTGATCAACTGGAATTGTCTATCTATCTTCTTTTACCACACCAGGACATCACACAAGCGATAAACACCCGCAACAAAGTGCCACCGTGTGGATGAGGATCAGACATGAAGAGGTCCCAGAAACCGCGTTCAGCCATTCGACCATATTTATGGCCGGGCTATATTGCGGTCCCAGGCAAAAGCCAGAGTGGGGCTTCAAATAACAAAAAATTGCATTCCTCAAGGGGATGACTAAGGCAAAACTGGAATTAGAATTGGAGACAGACATGTTAGCAAAGACAAACATGATAACAAAGACAGACATGATAACAAAGACAGACATGATAACAAAGACAGACAACATAACAAAGACAGACACGATAACAAAGACAGACATGATAACAAAGACAGACATGATATCAAAGACAGACATGATAACAAAGACACAATACAAGCCAACAACTACACAAATGCAGGTTACTGAAAACTCGTGTGACAAACACAAAGATTCGTGGTTTTTGTTGAAGGGTGTAGGGGATTACACCTCTGCGACGTGGGCCACATAACACAGGTCAGCTGAGAACCAAATAAATCTTATCACTTAGATGATTGAAGACACTGTACAGGAAACAATCTTACACTGAGATTCCGGGCACAAGTGTGCAGATCATTTGATAAAGCTTGGAAAGCTGCTAAAAACAAAAGCTAATCGATTACGCAATGTGTGGAATAATGTAAATTTCAATTGGTAAACAGTAATTAAGGGCGCTGGAACTTTGGGGCCTGGGTACCTTGAGTGTTCCCCCCCCCACCCCCCATTTAAAAAAAATGTATATTGGTATTGGTCAGTACCTTTAATACCGTTCTCCGCTACAAGCTGAAAAAATAAATAAACATCCATATTTAAAAACAGGTTAAATCAGCAAAGTTTAGTAACAAAAGTAAACTACTAGAGAATATTATCTAGTAAAATCCCATATAGCACCCCCCCCCCCCCCCCCAAAGAAAATGCTGTGTCTGCAACGTCGCGTATTAAATATGCAAGTGTGTGTGTGGGGGGGGGGGGGTGCCTATTTGCGTCTTAAAGCCTATCTAAAATATTTGGCGTTATTCAAACGATAATAAAATCACGCAGAAAAATCTATAGTGACAAAGTGTGTTAATCCATCTGCAGGAATCGGGCTGGAAGGTCAGGTTCTGATCATCCACAACATCAGTCGGCAGTGCGATGACATCTACGAGTGCTACGCAGACAATGGTGTACCCCCTGCTGTTAGCAAGGCTATACGGGTTATTGTGGACTGTAAGTACTCGTGGAAAGTCGGAAATCTCACTCTCCACGGAATCACGAAATAACCGTTTTTGTTGCTCAAGTGTAAGCATCCATGTTATTGCATTCCCTCTTTTACCACACGCGTCGTCATAGTTATCGAAACACTGTGAGAGCCACAGGACCCATTTTAAAGGTAGGAAGAGAATATAACCAGTGAAGAAGAAGAGAAGAAGAAGAAGAAGAGAAGAAGAAGAAAGAAGAAGAAGAAAAGAAAAAAAGTATGTCGTAAAAGGGGATTAATTACTGAAATCAAATGTGTTGGGCCAAACGGTGCAGATATCGCAGGCTAGCTGTAAACTACAACAGAAAATTATAGCCACAAGTGAAAGGGTTAAGAAGGTAAACACTAATTCATAATGTACTTTTTGTCATCATAAATTTTTTTTTTTTTTTTTTTTGTTAAGATGCTCCTGAAGTAATTTTGCCAAATCCAAAAGGCATAGGACAGCAGCTTGGCAAAGAGACCATTCTTGAATGCCAGATATTTGCGCATCCCCAAGCCATGACAAGATGGACTAAAAATGGAAAAGCACTATATAAAAATGATAAGTAAGTATATTTTTGAACCGAAGACAATTTGTAATAAAATTTAAAGAATAAAGCAGCAGCAAAGAGAAATAAATAAATTTATAACATAACAATTGAAAGCAAATTAAATCGAACTAAAGTAATGAGAACGAAACATAAGTGTATGTGGAGATCCTAAGGAGAAACAAGATATAAAAAATAAAAATAAAAACATCTCTTACAAGAAGTACAATCGTTGAAAAATCACAATTGACAAATATAACATCATATATTTCAATCCAAAAATGGAAAATGTGTTAGGAGAATGTTTTAAAATTGAAAGGAATAAAGTCTGAGTTCGGGGGGGGGGGGGGGTGAGGGGCTAAAATAAAGTGGGTTTTTTTCTAATGGAAAATCGGCCTAGAAATAATTGAATAGTTTTAGTTTAATTCTACATTCAGTGGTTTCTCACTGCTTCCTGCTCGGTAAGACGACTATACAGTTGGTCAAAGTAGGCACAAAGTAGTCTGTTACCAAATCGCCCGGTATATCTGGATTGTGGTACTGCGTTTACGAACACTAAGCTGCAGGCACCGAAACCAACAACTGAGAAAAGTAATATTAAATACGTTCAAACACAGAAATGGGTAAAAGAAAGAGTAAAAATCAGAAGAATGGGTTTCAGACTTCCGTGTATGGATAGTAATAGCGTGAAATAGTTTTAACAACGATTGATTACGAAACAAACAAAAAACGTTGTGTTTTTTGCCTTCATTTTTTATTTTAAATATTTCGCATTATTGCTATGCAAACTCGTCCTTTCCTCCATAGGGCTGCAGATTACACTAGGTTGGTGTGGTCTTTGTGGATGCCCTGATTATAGCTTTGGAAGTGAATGGGGTATCTGCGATCACCTTGTTGGTCTCCCATCCAGACTAGGATTTTGTCCCGGCCAGGCCCCAGCTAGAGAAGACAGTGGATTTTGTAATCCCAGGGTGTCAATCACAGACGTTTTCTTTCCCCCCCCCCCTCTCTCTCTCTCTCTCATTCTCTCTCTCTCTCTCTCTCTCTCTCTCTCTCTCTCTCTCTCTCTCTCTCTCTCTCGCTCGCTCTCTTTCTTTCCTTTTTTTTTTCTCAAATCGTTTATCTTTTATTTTTTATTTGTACAACTCCATAATATACTTCTGGTGAAACAGGTTAGCACATTGTGTTCTGGTTTACAGCAGGGTTACGATATGTACGCCTTTTGGCCCAAGACATTCGTTTTTCAGCAAGCCCCTAATTAATCGCCTTTACAACATGTTTGTTTAGGGACAGTGGGTCTATACTCCCCCCCCCCTCTCTCTCTCTCTCTCTCTCTCTCTCTCTCTCTCTCTCTCTCTCTCTCTCTCTCTCTCTCTCTCTCTCCCAAAATGGGGCCCCGGAATCCACACAGGACACTGAAGAAAGGTAATGGACACAGAGCAAATTGACCACCGTGCAAAAGATGTTCAGGGGTGTCGACCACAGAAAACATTGGGGGTGCTCGAAGGGCGATGGAAAGGCAGAGGAAGAGGTCCCTCAGCCCCTCTTACACATTTTATGGGCTTGGACCTCAAGAAGCATTATACTTTTTTAAGAGCTTACAGTAGTAATAGTAGTAGTAATAGTAGTAGTAGTAGTAGTAGTAGTAGTAGTAGTAGTAGTAGTAGTAGTAGTAGTAGTAGTAGTAGTAGTAGTAGTAGTAGTAGTAGTAGTACTAGTAGTAGTAGTAATAGTAGTAGTAGTAGTAGTAGTAGCAGTAGTAGTAGTAGTAGTGATAGTATTAAAAGCAGCAGCAGCAGTAGTAGTAGTAGTAGTAGTAGTAGTAGTAGTAGTTATAGTAGTAGAAGTAGTAGTAGTAGTAGTAGTAGTAGTAGTAGTAGTAGTAGTAGTAGTAGTAGTAGTAGTAGAAGTAGTAGTAGTAGTAGTAGTAGTAGTAGTAGTAGTAGTAGTAGTAGTAATAGTAGTAGTATTAAAAGCAGCAACAGTAGTAGTAGTAGCAGCAGCAGTAGAAGTAGTAATAGTAGTAGTAGCAGCAGCAGTTGTAGAAGTAGTAGTAGTAGCAGTAGCTGCGGCAGTAGTAGTAACAGCAGCAGTAGCAGTAGTAGTAGTAGTTAAAGTTAGTTGCTTATCAGTTAAAGAACGCTGCACAACCAACCCCAGCATTTTTTATATATTGTGGTTTTACGTCCAGTAGTTAGCCATTGTTTTCTGGGTGGTCAGCTTCTCGATACCACTGTCGAAACCAACGCAAGGCGCAAGGCCCGAAGCTGGGATCGAACCCGGCACCCTGGAATTACGAAGTGTGTTCGCAGTTCCTAAGCCATAGACGCTGTAGTAGTAGTAGTAGCAGCAGCAGCAGCAGCAGCAGCAGCAGCAGCAGTAGTAGTAGTAGTAGTAGTAGTAGTAGCAGCAGCAGCAGCAGCAGCAGCAGCAGTAGTAGTAGTAGTAGTAGTAGTAGTAGTAGTAGTAGTAGTAGTAGTAGTAGTAGTAGTAGTAGTAGTAGTAGTTCGCTAGTTGGCAAAACAATATAATTTGGAAGTAATTTTACTTAGAAATAGAATATACAAAGGAAAAAAAAAAGAATCCATATGGTTATGGGGTACACATTTTCTAGGGAGGGTAAAGAGATTGTTGTGTCAATTGCCCCCTTCTTCCCCTTCTCCCGACCCTTCCTTTATGAAGTTTCAGCACCCCTGTTCATGTCAGTACATTACAAAACTATCTTTATCTTTGAAATCTGTCAGATACGACATCGATATTTTCAAGAACGACGCAGAAAACTCGGTGACGCTAGCACTACGCATCCTCAATCTAACGTCATCAGATTACGGACATTATGAATGTATGGGGTCCAACTTTCTAGGAGAAGACAGTCAAACGATGCTTTTATATGGTGAGTGTTTTTGTATACGTATGTACACACATATACCCATATACACATATACCGAAGCTGTTGTTGACTGCATTAAAATGACAGGTAGCTGATTACATTCAGAATGGCGTGTAATTTTGAGTGTGCAGTGCCGGTTTTTATGATTACCACTGCGACAACAGTGAGCAGCAGGTCTGGTGTTAGGCCATTAGTGTTGGCACATCTGACAGCTGCCTTACGCATTTATTACTTTACGTGTGCAAGTTTCAAGATTTTGCCAGGAGTGACAAGGTATTGAATAGTTTTCAACCCTACAATGAAGGAGATGTGTGATTTTCACTGGCACGGGAACGGAGCAGTCATTAGGCCGATCCTTCAGGAGTGATGTTGGAACCTCGACTAACGACTAACATCTACAGAACGACACACATATACAGATACACACATGCATAATTGTATAAATACACATGTACACAGCATGCATAAATGCACAAGCATACACACGCATACATGCATCCTTTCATACATTCATCAATACATTTATGCATGCATCCATCCATCCAAGCCCTCATACATTTGTTTGTCTTTACGAGGAACTGTTATACAGCTATGTTTGTCTTTTTGTTTGTATGACTGTGAGTACGGTTGATCTGGGTGTATGTATAATGTTCACGTGTGCATGTGTGCGCTTCTATTTATGTATGCCTGTCTGTGTCTGCTTTTATTTCAAACACACACACACACACATACACACACACAACAGATGCTATTGCAAGAACACAAACTGTACATTCTGTTAAAGTACGGGTAGTTTGTCCAAAGTGCAATGAACCAGTCTTAATAATAGTGGTGGGGGGTATGCTGATTTCAATCACAGACATGAGGGAAAGTTCAGTCAGTTGTGTGTTGAATAAAGGCATAACCCTTACCTCACATCGGGCACCAACATTCTTTCTGCTGGTTTTACAGAACCTCATGCAAAACTCCGACTACACGTCCAAGTAGCGTCCAAATGACTTCTGTCATTGCCTAACATCAGTCTGTTCGGCTATCTTCCGAATAACGGTCCCAAATTATCCAAGCCGAAAATATATCCTAACAGGGCCTCGGTCACATGTCAATTTCGGACTTCCGGCGACTACCGCCACCGCCGAGAGTATCTCGCAGGCCACTACGCGCGACGTGGATTGGGGCTAAACTAGATGGCTGGGACTCACGAGCAGCAGCTACCGCATCTGCCTTCATTTTTTTTTTTTTTTGCCCGTGAGTCCCAATCCACGCCGCTCGTAGTGGCGTGGGAGATACTCTAGGTGGTGGCGGAAGTCCGCAATTGACGTGTGACTGAGGCCCTGTTAGGGTATATTTTCGGCCTCGATAATTTAGGACCGCTATTCGGAAAATCGCCGTCTCTTCAAAAATTAATCAGTGCTTTGGTGGTCAATGTGTACCTTTTAAAATTCAGAAATAAAGCCTCCAGCAACAACAGCAAAGACAACAACAACAACACAAAAACTGCATTCGACTTTCCTTAATCAAGAGGAAACCAACTATAATGTTGAATCTTTCAAAAGCAACGGACATTTTGGAGCTGACGGGGTTAATGATGAACATCGAGGCGAGAATATAGAAGGTAATGTGTTTGAAAGGAATGGCTGTGCGTACATTTTTTGTTTTTCTTTATTTCTTTCTCTTTCTTTCTCCTTCTTCCTTCTCATCCTCTTAGTTCGCCATTTAAAGGGCAGCTGGGATGTTGTTTTGTGATTTAGAGCCAGGTTGTGATATTTCTTGTCGCCTTGAGTGCTAGAGGTCCTGAGTTCAAGCCCCATTGAAGGCTGGGACTTTTTTCCCGCGGACTTCTAGTAATTTCCCCTGGTAAGATCGGACTCCGTGTGTATTATTGCGCATGTAAAAAAATCCCTTAGCAGTTGGAAATCGAAAAGAGTAGCCAAACAGCGCTGCACCGGCAAACTTTTGAGTTAAAAATCTACCAAAAGTATTTCAGGATCCTCGCCGGTTCTGCGGAGTTCGTGCACTGCGCTGAGTCTTCAGACTCAGGCTTGAGTTAAAAGAATAAATAAATATACGTTGAGTTAGAAGAAGAACTGAGCACTTATGGGTCATACATGTGTGTCATGATGTTGATCCGCTGAATATGCATTAACATAAACATCGCTTTGGAAATACAGTTTATGTAAATTTTTTTTTTTTTTTTCAAAGGTTAGGAATAAAAAGCGAGTTGTTGAGAGTTTTTATAAGGGCGAATGAAAGGTGACATTAAGAGTTATCGGAAAAGAAGGAAAAGGAGAAGACGAAGAAGAAGAAGAAGAAGAAGAAGAAGAAGAAGAAGAAGAAGAAGAAGAAGAAGAAGAAGAAGAAGAAGAAAGAAGAAAGAAAGAAAGAAAGAAAGAAAGAAAGAAAGAAAGAAAGAAAGAAAGAAAGAAAGAAAGAGAGAGAGAGAGAGAGAAAGAAAGAAAGAAAGAAAGAAAGAAAGAAAAGAAAGAAAGAAAGAAGAAAGAAAGAAAGAAAGAAAGAAAGAAAGAAGAAAAGAAAGAAAGAAAGAAAGAAAGAAAGAAAGAAAGAAAGAAAGAAAGAAAGAAAGAAAGAAAGAAAGAAAGAAAGAAAGAAAGAAAGAAAGAAAGAAGGAAGGAAGGAAGGAAGGAAGGAAGGAAGGAAAGAAAGAAAGAAAGAAAGAAAGAAAGAAAGAAAGAAAGAAAGAAAGAAAGAAAGAAAGAAAGAAAGAAAGAAAGAAAGAAAGAAAGAAAGAAAGAAAGAAAGAAAGAAAGAAAGAAAGAAAGAAAGAAAGAAAGAAAGAAAGAAAGAAAGAAAGAAAGAAAGAAAGAAAGAAAGAAAGAAAGAAAGAAAGAAAGAAAGAAAGAAAAGAAAGAAAGAAAGAAAGAAAGAAAGAAAGAAAGAAAGAAAGAAAGAAAGAAAAGAAAGAAGAAAGAAGAAAGAAAGAAAGAAAGAAAAGAAGAAAGAAAGAAAGAAAGAAAGAAAGAAAGAAAGAAAGAAAGAAAGAAAGAAAGAAAGAAAGAAAGAAAGAAAGAAAGAAAGAAAGAAAGAAAGAAAGAAAGAAAGAAAGAAAGAAAGAAAGAAAGAAAGAAAGAAAGAAAGAAAGAAAGAAAGATCGACTATGAAAGCTTATTGTCTTTTTATAAAATCTTCTTTTTCTTCGTTTGCCTTTAAAAGTGCAGCTGGCCGTTGAATTGTACTTAACAGCTAGGCTGCAATATCTGCGCCTCTCGGACCAAAACAAATGATTTCAGCAAGCTTCTAATTAGTAGCCTTTTACAATTTGCTTGTTATTGGCAGGCCCCCCCCCCCCAACCCTTACCCCTAATAAGACCCCGAAACCCACAAGCAGAGAAGGAAATCTATAAGCACACTGGTCACCTGTGAACGATTTTCTGTTTCAGGTGAAGGAGTTTATCCGAGGCAATATCCCATACAGGAAAGCCATGTGATTTCTCTACACTCCGATGAGTTAACTCGAGACAATTTATCAAACAATAAAGGTCAGACGATTAACTCTGTATTTCTTGGCGTGATTGCTTCTTATTAGGTACAGTATTTACTATCTGTGTCTTACTGGGGACCTAGAAGGACACTGAATAAGAACTGTAACCTGTCATGCATTCTCTAAGGGACGACTGTGAAGGGTTGACGTGAGACTGGCTGCCTCGTCGGGTATAATTTAGCTGCATAATCCCGACAATCTGGCAATTTATCGCAGTTTCAGTTTTATGGCAAAGAGTCACCCTATAGTTATTCTATTCCTGTACCAACAAAAACGACACAGAATTTTCATCTTTGTTATTTGTGAAAGGACTGCAGTCTCAGCAAAGCCAGTAGCATAGACACGCGTTAAATGCATAAGGCAGCTGTCAGAACGGTCAACACAAACAGTCCGACACTAGAAATGTGGTTCATCGTTTATGGATGCAGCAGCTGCAACATATCAGTATCTGCAAACGCAATTCCTCACACAAGACACCATCAGTTAGTCAACTCTGACAACAGGCTGCTCCCTATTTTATGAATCTGCAATTCGCAACACAGACTTTGTTGGGCAGTAAAAAAGCGTTCCGAATGAAATCCGCAGCTCCGCGTCATGCACTCAACTCAGTAGATGGACGACGGAACTATCCTTTCAGTCTTTATATGGAGGAAAATGCAGCGACTTACTATTATCCTAAGCAAAACTTGCCACGACTAAAAACAGTAAACCTGTATATCCGCTATCTTGACCGGAAACATAATCCAATCAATCATGGGCGACTTAACAAAGGATTGCCGCGAGTTAGTTGTGGGCTTATGCTTAATTGAGGTAAGATCAGAAGAAGCAACTACTGTATTCTTCCGTCCTCATAATGCGTGTGATGCGTGTCTGAATGCCCAAGACTGTTCTTCTGACGATTTTGATGTTGATCACATACTCATTGAATGTCAATCGATCTGTTAACAATTTCAGTCCCAGATGGCCCGAGATAGACAAGAATGGCATCTCTGAACTCATGGGTATACTACTTCCACAGAAGCCAAATGTGCAATCCTTGTAAGAGACAAATATGTTGTCAGAGGTTCTGAAAGACACCCTTGAATGAACATGAGATATCATCATCATCATGTAGCAGGTCCTTTGCAGAACATCGCTCTCATCACAGTCTGCCTGAAAGAAACTCGGTTTCTTGCCAGTTCTCCCGCCTCCTGCACTTTCACGCTCAATGAGTCACTTATATCCTATGCCCATCTTCGTGTCAGTCGGCTCCTGCCCCTCCTTCCTGGTACCATGCCTTCTGCTATAATTTTTTCCAACCCGTCGTGGCGCTTGATATGACCAAAATATTTCAGCTTTTGAGAAAGGGTGCTGTTTATTAGCCAATCTTCTTTGATGTTCAGATCTTTTAGGATGTCAATATTTCTCATCTTCTTTGTCCAAGATATTCTGAGAATCTTTCTATGGCATTTCAGCTCAAAAGCCCCTATTCTCTTTCTTAAGGACTGAGAGATAGTCCACGACTCACATTCGTATGTAGCCACAGGGAAGATGCATGCTCTCAAAATTCTAATTTGTATCTCCTTGCTGATGCTTAACCATAGACTTTTAAGGCTGTTTAATCTTTGCATTGCTATGGCCATCCTTATTTTAATTTCTGTCGAACAGTCTGCATTGTTGTTTATTAATTTTGGCTTCCATGATGAGTTTCTTGGGAAAGTCATGTGGTAGTTTCCCATTGCTTTCCACATCCACATGGCTTTAGACCATGTCCTCAGCCTTCAGCAACCCTTTTGATTGCTAGGGCAATGAGACATATAAACATATGAATAATGCATTCATTGGTACGCATAAATAATATACAATAGCGCACAGTGCGTTGCTTGGAACAAACAGTTACCTCAAAACGAAATTAATTTTCTGTATTTCCCACCTCTGCAGGCAAAGAAAAAGGATGGTACCAGAATCAAGATGGAGAGAACGAGTCTACTGTATTGCTCTCGGAGTGGAAGCTCCTATGTGTAACTTTACTGTGGCCTCTATGTCAGTTCTTCCACTGATAGTAAAGCAAGTAATGTTACAGTCTGTAATTATTTTACATAACGATTCATGTTATAAGAAAGTTTAGGAAGCCGGAACTAGCGGTAGAAATATAAACTGATTATAGAGTAAATGCTGTGTTAGAATAAGTGTTTCTTATTAGAAATTAGAGTCTTGTATGCTGTTTCGATTTCAAATTTATGATTCGTAAATCTGATTACAAAGCATTAGTCACCAACGTACTATTGTGAATGGTTTATGTCTCGTTCTTGTAAGTTTTAGTATTTGCATATCTAAGGCGTGAAGTCAAATAAACAGTAATCACAACTTAGAACATTAACATCAGAGAAACGCGTCTACGGTCGAAACTGTCATAAGAGTAAGAACCAGAACACAGTCTCCTTCGACACATAAATAGGTAAAAGTGGAAGTGAAGAAGATGGTATTTATGTTTATCAAATTTTTTCCATGGATACGAGTATAATGAAATCAAACCGTTATGAGCATGATCCAAACAATATGTCATGTACGATCATGAATACATGCCTACACACTCGGTCAATGTCGTTAATTGTTTATATTTTCAGCAGTTATTTTAACCTCCTTTTATTCTAAGGATTTCCAGCTCATTGTGACTGAAAAGCTTAACGAAACGGGGAACGTTTCGTTAAGCTTTTTTAGTCACATTTCACTGGAATTCCTTGGTATTGGCTTGACTGCAGTCACTGCCATATTTTCACCACTTCTGTTCCAAGGAGTTGAGATCTAAAGCAGTTAGTATGTATGTCTGAAGGATTATAGCAGGACAGCAGTAAATAAAGCAAAAATGCGTTTCCATGTCTTTTGGGCGTTTAGGCACTTCGAGACATTGTATTCCCACAGCTTACTTTGTTCCAGCTGTACTTTGGGGAGAGGGGAAGGAGGGGGCGCTGATTCTATACAGCAGCGGTTCTAAAAATGTGGGTCGCACGACCCTTTTACAGAAGTCGCCAAAGACCATCGAAAAAAAAAAATATTTATTGAAATTATCAAATAGCAACAAAAATAACGGCTCTCCTTCGAACGGCATCATAAAATGGCGGCCATAATATGATGCCACATT